TCTGTTGTTGTTGTTGCTGTCAATGTTGTTGTTACCAATGTGCTTGTCATTGTTGTTGTTGTTGTTTTTGTTGTTGTTGTTGTTTAATTATTCCTGCAGCTTCGGCTGGACATGCTGTTCTCGGCATTCCACCGCAGCGGAGGCACATTCAGCGGCTCTTTCCTCACAATGTTCGAAGCTTGCCCGCACTTCATGACAAGCATGGAGTGAACTGCTAGCCAACTCCGACGCGCAAAAGCCATGCAGATTCCCGACGCGCAAGGAAATTTTGTTTGCAAATTGGGCTCCTGCATGTAGGGTGCTGACCGATAATGTGCCTTGGCTGCAGCTCGCGGGAGGCAAACTCCGGTACAAGCACGACAATGGCACAATGCATTCTGTCGTCTGCAGATTCTCCGCAAGGTGACAGAGTGGTGGACACTTTTCTTTTTGCTCTACCGATGTCTCGTAGGCCATCCTGCAGCAGAATGCGAGGGCTGTGCATCACCGGACGCCATGTTTTCCATATTGTGTTGCTGCCAAGACCCATAGCTGCTCCATTGGTTGCTGCCTTCCAGGCTTTGCCGTGTTGAAGGTGGTGAATGCAGCTTCCCTGTTCAGCAAATACATTTAGCATATTTTGTGCTGCGAAGCTGGGGTTTTGAAGATTGTGCATCAAAAGCTGGGCCGGCAAGGCAGTGTTTGTCCAAAGCACGCTCAAAGTTGCACACGCAGATGAAGAGCTTCAGTTCGCAGCCTGGCAGAAATTTGGGTTTGACTTTTGCCTTACCGACCAATGATACCGCCATGTGCAAATTTGGCCTCATCGTGCTTGCCAGGAAGCCAAGCAGAAGGCTGGCTTGGCATTTCATGTTGTTCATTCCGGTCTGCATGCAGTGCACAATGCCGACTCCGCATTGTCTGCAGGCACAGCGGAACCTCATGAATAAGTTGCAGAACATGTTCTTGGCTTTGGACACCTCAGGCGACCAGCCAAGCTGAAGCCTAGGGCTGGTTTAGGCGGAGGTTGCGTCAAGGAGGCTTTTTTGAAGGGATATGGCAACCACAGGTGACGGGCTCCTCAGTTGGGAGGAGTTCAACGAGGCGATCTCCAGCACTTTGGTCGAACTTAAATCTCATCTGGACGACAGTGACCATTGCGCAGCTTGCACTTTCGCTCTCAAATAGTATCGGGGCAGAATACTACCCTCCTTTGGGGATCAGTCCAGGGCTAGTTACATCGCCTTTGACTTGCGCATTGTTCTGTTTCTCGAGTAACCGAGGTCCGAAGATGGCATTCTGGATGAGCCAGCTTGCCACTAGACACCGGTATAGTATCCGCTCTTGTTTTGTTACTCCACTTCATGATGTCATGCGACATGCTGACATGCCTGTATATCACTAGGCCCGGGTCACTAGGCGTTGCGGTAGAGCTCGAAGCGTTGTGTGACCATTGCGTTGGAGACTCCCCTGATGCTGCTGCATGCTTATGCGTCGCTGTGCAGTGGAGTGCGTTTCCGTTCGCTCTATATACAATTTAGGGCTAGTTGTGCTGGAGCCGATCTTTATCGCTAGTGCACGGTCGTTGCTGTACTCAAGTCATCCTCGCTTGTGGGCATAGATCCTTATCCATGCGAGAGGGAAAAATATGCAATTAATTATTCGTTTGCCGCTATGATTGTTACATATCACTACATCTGGATATTCGATGTGAAACTGAACAGTCCCGATTGCCGCGTCGTACTCGGCAACTGTAAACTTAGAAGGATAATCTCCAAGCAGCTGTAACAACGCGCTTTCCACCCGGCTTTGCATACCCAGGAGCTTGAGTCTTCAGACCTCAAGAGTTTGTTCACTTTGCTGGATGGTGGCGATGGGCTGATCTCTGTGTCGCTGGGCGCATGATAATAATGTGTTAGTCAAGCTACATCATTGAAGCTTGGTCATGCCTTGAAGCTTGCACATGCATCCCTACCCTCCCCCTCCTGCCTCTGTACGCCGGCTGATCGGACCGAAATGCGGGCGGCGAAAACGGATGTCGTTCCCTCTCCCAGCCAGGGGCACCAGCAGTATGTAAAGATGTTTTCGGACTTGGAAGGCGGGAGGTGTTGAATCTGGTATGGCTCCAAGACAGAGGGAGTAGCATGTGCTCGGTCATGTCAAGTCACTATCCAAGGAATGAATTCATGGAGGGGGCCACTCGACTTCGAGGCGGGGTTGCTGCTGTTCGTGCAGAGTGTAAGTGGAGCACCGTAGCCACGCCGTAGCAGGTCCAGCGAAAAGCATCGACGTGGCCAAGCTCCTGATGCTTTGTCGCGTGGCATGCTTTACGGGAGGACGTCATAAAGCTGGAACTATAGGTTGGATGTCTTCATGATGCCCAACTCCAACTCCTGGGGCTGAAGCCTGCCAAGGTACGAAAACCGAGAAGACGCTGAAGGCCGGTTATAGCATATAGAAACCAAAGGTGGGGAGCCGTGCATGCCGGATGCTGGAGGTAATAAACGATTCATAGACAGATTTCTTGGGCCGTTGTGGTTGTGGCTGGTGTTATAAGTTGCTGCTTGGAGGAGTTGTTAGTGCCAGTAGTAGCTTCCTGACTGGATCAGTTGTTGTGAATCCTAATCGGGCACTGCCGAGCGTGAGAGTCCCAGTCGAGCGTGAGCCTTGCCGGACAAACTACAAGTTATGTCGCAGGGGATTGTTCGCGCGTCTTGGATGCATCGCTGGATCTTTGCGGGTGTTGCTCTAACATGTGTGTGGGAAGCCCTGAAGTGTATCTGACTGTGGCAGCGTTCACACTGAGGCAGTGAAGCCGCTAGTGGATAATGAAGGACTGAACGTGTAGGGGGGGAGCTGAAGTGAGGGTGCCACATCAGGTCAGGTCAACCACGTGCCTGGACTTTTGGCAAGTTCCGGCTTGGCTTAAACGATGCGTGTAGCTGATGGCAACTCAACGTAGCAGCACTCATGTCATGCAGCATGTCATCTACAGGAGGCAGCCAGGCCGGCTCAGCACCGTGGCGAAGAAGTTTGGTTTGAATCGCACGGATTAGGAGTGTCACATCTGCTATCTTGTGAACTGCAATCCCCTTAATGAGGCGTTTGGTCCTGCTGCTAGGCTGCACATAGTGCAGAGGAACCCGCGCGGTCATTGGGCCCTTACTGCTTTAGCGCTTCTTGCTGTGAGGGCTTGCTTCGAAGAGGGACATTGGGCACCCTCGGCTCGAGGCGGGAATGGGTTTCGAGTTGCTTTGCAGGCCCCTACTCGGAGCATGGTGCAGGTGCAGGAAACATTGGCGCATTTGTAAAAGACCGCTCGATCGTAGCTTGGAACTTGCGGCCTTTCGACAGGAACACCTGATGACCCTTTTGGAATTTGGAGGGCAGCGTCCTACCAAAGGTCGGACTGCCTGTTTAACGCAAATGTTTGACGGTCGCTCATGGCTGGGAACATGAACGAGTTCTCTCGGCCTGGCGCCTGGCTTTGGCGGTGGTTAAATCACATCGCTTGTCGCTCCAACCATGTTTTTTGCTCAGCCAAGCTGCTAACACCAGACACGTTACGGAGAATCAGTGAATCATCGCAGGTTGTTGAATGTGTTTGGCCAAGTTGGCAGCTTGGCCCCTTGATCGGATCCATGTCTTGCTCCAGCCCGGGTTGCCTGGCTTGCTAGACGAGATGACCAGAGTTTGTAACGCTGACGAAACTTGAGGTGGTTTGCGTAGGGCGAGCAGACGTATTACCTGCTGACAGTTGACGGCAGGCTCTATCTTTGAACCTTCGGCCTTCATGTGTTTCAATCTTGACGCCTGAGCGCACCATTGTGCCGGTGTCTTCCCACCTGCAGCTGCGGCATGATTGCACAGCAAGCAGGCAAGAAATGCAAAAAAGGCATGTCAGGAGCCGCCAGGATCTTCTGCCGTTTTTTCTTCCTGGTGGCACTGATACATACTCGAACGCCAGTTGGTCGGAGCAACGAAAACTACATCTATTGAAGCCCATGCAAGACAGGAGTACAGCATCAGCAATTCAGTTACCTTGCGCAAGCTTTGCAAGAAGGGATCATGTCATGTCAGTCCAGGGCACCCAGCCAAAGCTGAAAGATCATGTGTGCCTAGCTGCCTAGCTGTTGCGGACGGGATGCTGGCACTTGCCGCTAAGGGGCCGCCTCACTAGTCTTTTCGGAGAAGGCGGTCATACGCGAGATCGGTGGCAAGTTCTACTTCATGTTCCAGGCAGAAGATCCGTTTGAAAGCATCCTCGTTGTCAGTTTGGAAGCTCCAGGTTTGCGAGTCGAAGAAGCACCAGCTTGTGGAAGCATGGGTCCAAGAAAGCCAGGCAGTTCTATTTCTTGTGGGGTTTAGGCTCGTGAGATGAGGAATGCTGAGATATGCTGAGCAAGCAGTGAAAAGCAGTGAAGAGGAAGCTAGCTGCAGATACATTTGCAGATACTATGATCAGCATGATAAGTAGCATTGTGCTCAAGCTGTACGTAGTGTTGTGCTCTCTTCAGTTGAACACTGCGTTTCTTTGCCAGCAACAGGATTTGCCTGCGAAGGTTAATTATCACATGCGATGCCCAGGCCCTTGCTGTTGTCCCACTTCTGCATAAGGGAAGAAGCGCAGGTTCAGCCAGCCCACAAGTGTTTTCCGCACTCGTCAAGACTCCTTTCTCAGGCTCTCTCTTGTGCGTTGCTTCTCGGCCACTTCCATCGATGTGCCAGTGCGATACACCACAACTAGCCTCCTCGATTGCCTCCCAGCCCATATCAGGAAGCATCAAGAATCTCAGCCACGAAACCCCCGCAAGATGTGACCAGTGTTCTAGCAGCCACCTCCTCGTTCGTGGAGATCAAAGCCAGCGTAACGCTGCCAAGGCAAAGGTTCGCTGCTATGCGTTGTGCACCGGCCTGGCAGGCGATCAAAGCCCATCAGGTGCCACCACTGCAGCCCGCTGCCGCAACTTAGAAGTTGGTGATATAGACATAGACACTAATCCCTTCCCCCGATTCTTAAACCTCGCCCTTAAAAACCGTTGTACTAGAAGAAGCAGAACTTCGGATGTAGCACGGCCCATGCACTGTGCCTCGGTAACGTGAAAGTCTCGCCGATGGGCACGGTGGCCTTCGAGACTTGACATCACGCCTGACACCAGCTGGGGAGGGATCTTGCACTCCCTGCAAACATCGGGTTGGAGGGGCAGCCAACACCATTTCATCTAGTTATATCTCGTCCTCACGCAGTTGTAGTGAAGACTAGACCGTCCATCCCTTGCGTGGGAAGCTCGACTGTTCTTATTTTCCCCCTCTATTAAACCTTCTCTTGCTTTGGGGTGGCGAAACCACAATCAAAAAACAATTGTTCGAACAAAAGTAGCTCTGAAACGCTCGTGCGTGAACAGCTCGCCAACTTACAGCCGCTCGACAAAATTCCCGGTTAAATCCATGTATAACGCTTTCTCGCCTCTCGAATTTTCGCGTTTGGCGAACCGCCAGGCGCTACGGGGTGATGGGTCAGACCGCGCATTGACGGCGAGGTTTCCGCTGTAGCCGACGGCACACCAGCGTATCTTACACCATTTGGCAGACCCCGAACTCGGGGAGAGGCACAGCCACCGTTGGTGTCCAGCCCCAACTGCCCCCCCGTTCCTAAACGAGCCGAAGTGGCCGAGGTATGGTTGCCACTCCGCCTTCCACTCATGCCACGACTGACGGGACAAGTATCGAGCACAGACAGATGCGCGGAGGGCACAGGCCGTAGCCGGGATGACATTAGCCTTCTAAGTGCATGTACACGTGTGGTGCTGTGTTGGCATGTGTGCCCCCGCCCACAAGACGTAAACAGCACGCAGACATGACAGATGCAGCCGAGAAGTTGCCCCCGCGTCGCCGCGCGTGTGGAGGGCGTAGCCAGCCTTCGGCGAGCCACCCTAATACCAATGGCCTTAACGAGGATCCGATTTTTCAACCCATTGAGCTCAGCCCCATACCTGCTCAACCAAGCCAACCAAGCTGACCCCCCTATTATTAAACGATGTCTTTCAACTTTCCAATATGTACCCCACAAGCTATCTACGTCATGGGCCCGATGGATGTCGTTTCGTAGCCGGAGGCGCAAACCCCGATGCAATGATTGCATGCTCACCTTCTCAATTGATATGCCCATCTTTTGCATGGTAGTCACGACAGCCCCTGCATGGATCCAACCCTCTCATCGTTATACCACTTTCATGATAAGGAGGGGATGCAAAGAGACCCCGCATCGTGACACAAAAACGGCCCAAACAAACCCCTCGCAGTCCAAATCCCCTCGCCGACACCAGGAGCAGGACGCCGGGCACAAGACAGCACAGGGGATGTGTACCGGGATCACCAAGGGCGACAGGTTGCTGGCAGGATTGGTTGCACTGAGCAGCCGTACTTGTTACAAGCACGCCAGTTGCTGCACGCAGGGTTTGTTCCCCCTGAATGCGACCCCCATGCAAGAGTCCTTCTGATTGCTTTCACCTCCATCAACGTTAACACACTATCTGGTCAAGTCCTCCATGGCCGCCTCAACCAAGGGTTCAGGATCTTTCATAAGATTAGCCTCCAAGAAGCCCTGTTCGAGCAACCCAGGCTCAAACAACTAACAATCCAAGAACTCTTGAAGCTATCCCCCCCGATATCATTGAGGTACTAGACAGTCAAGACAGTACAAATGAGTGAGGGAAAGAGTGACCGTGGATGAGGTGCAAACGGATGATGCTGCTGTTGTTTTTGCTTCTTCCTCTCCATGTCTTTATGCTTATCCCTGCGATCTGTTCTTTTGCTTGCATGCATGCTGGTCATGGTAACCAGCCAAGCGAACCCTTCATCCCAAGTCGTCTCACCTCCATGACCTTTGCTCTGCAACCAAACCCGGTGTCCATCTCGATGGGGCTGGGACTCAGAATCTGGGCTCGTCTCTTGGACGGCCTTGCCGCAGCCGAAGCTTGCTATCTGGCCAGGCGTACAAGGCTTGTCCTCTGGGGATTCGCATGCTGAAACTCAGCGATAACTGTCTGGCCGGAAGAGACTGAGTACTGGAATAATCTTACAGCGATCTGCATGGTGTATCAAGGATATGCGGGGACCGCTGAGCGGATACATGTCTACATGTACGCCTTGGTCAAAGCCGTCTACGTGCAGATCCGCTTGAGAACTTGATTCATAGTTGTTGATGCTATGCTGGCACAACGACACAATGACGACGAACGAATTCACTTTGCGCACAAGAACCTTTTGCACAGACAAAAACTACGAGTGCACAGATAGATGGTAATCCTGTCTGGCGTGCATCCTGCATGCGCCCTACGAACGACGGTTTCCCACTCAGCGGAGAGTACAACAGACGAGGAGTAGTGTACAATTGGATACTAAGTTTCGCTACCAGAAGTTTTGCTGCATGACGAATGTACTGCCTGGAAGTTCCTGGGTCTCTACATGGTACAACTGGGCTGCTGGTCTGCCTTCCTCTGCAAAGATCAGGGCTCGAGAAGCTGATCAAATCACAAAAAGATCCGTGCGATGAAACCTTTCAGCCTGCATACTATTCGAAGTCTCAAAGTGTCGCCATGGGCGTCTGCATGGGGATTTCTGCATGGTGCGACGATGTCATGAGATGCAAGTGAACTTGTAGACGTTTGAGCCACTGGAGTCCAAGTTTCACGGGGCTTCCACACAGCACAAACTAGGTCGTGGGGACTTTGGAGTGCAGGACATTTGCTGTAGTGGAAGTCTGCTGTCAGATTGGCCCGAGGTATTGCTTGTGCATTTGTTGTTGTCGTGTCTAGAGCCTTACCTGACAGTACAGTAATGGTTGACAGTTGCCAGAGTATTTGTTAATATTCTTTGAACCAGTATCGCTGCAGACCCTGCCAGGCCAGGCTTGTCCGAGTGTGAGTGTCGCAAAAATGCCAAGTATTATTTTCGGGCAGCATTTGGCCCGGAATGTGCCCGAAGAAGAGGTAAAAAGGGCCAAAACTACAGGTCCTAGGTAGGTTGGGACTTGTAATTAGCTATGTACCCTGTATTGAGGCGTTCTCCCCTTCCCCATCTCACAGAGTATCTGTTAAGGGTTTATCCCGGCATCCGAATTGTTACGATAGTAACAGCGGGTGTGTACCAGAACATATGCCTTGAGTTCGCTTCCCTCCCGGAGTTTTTCGTGGCATTGCAACACCCGCAGCTAACAGGAGCCACAGGAACGTAGGACTGCAGGCACTGCCCAGGAACTGCAGGCTGCAGCAACCGCAGGAACGTAGGACTGCAGCGTCTGCGGCTTGCCAAAAGAAGGGTTTACAATAAAGCACTGAGTGCCAAAAACGCTACTGGTAAATTTAGTATTAGTTCGGGGGGTTAATGATGCGGGGAAGGGATTAGAAACGTTCGTAGGAGATGGTGCGCATCAAGGTTTGTGGGGACGATAAGCTGGCTAGTTCACCGCGTGCGTGTGACTAGGGTTCCATGTCTTGTCGACCATCGGGCAGAAATCAAGCTAGCTGTCGGCTGCCTGCCTCGCGCTGTCAGCCTGTTGACAGCAGGCTTCAGTTGTTGGCTCGAAAATAGTCGCCAACCCAGCTACAAGATTTAATGCACATGCAAGGCTTTTGTTGACGTGGACGGCCGCAGATTTTTCGCAACATCCACATGTTCGTCTCCTTTGCACGAGCTCTCCAAATCCTTCTATAGCACATGCGCCTTAAGGTCCGAGTATCAGCCCTGAAATATCGACGCCAGCCGAAAAATTGCAATGGCGGTCGCGCTGGTTGCGACACCGCCCATGCTGGTCGCGGAGAGGCTGATTCCAGCTGCAAAGTTTGGATCCAAAAAAGAAGCGTAATCTTAAAGCCAACCTCCAACTCAAACCGCGCTACGCAGCAATGTGCAAGCAAACCCTTCACGTACAGGCTCACCTCAAAGCCTGGGCCAGTCCGGTGTCAAGTTCCCAACAGAGGCCGACCTTCGGAGGGCGGGGAAGGTTGACGACGACTGAGACCACACAGCAGACGCTTGGGGCCTGCTATGCGTTGCTACAGTCAATACCAGCAAGTTATCCGAGATCTGCATGACAACTCTCCAAGACCCTGTGAAGGCGCGCCGTCTACAACCGCGTTGGCAGGCTCTGTTGTGTTGGCAGGCGTCTTTACGAGGCCAGGACGGGGGACTTGCAGCGAGCCGAGGCCGTAGGTGTCCCAGGGGCACGTGAGTACATTTGGCAGTTCGGATCGATGACACGATGATGCTTTCTGCATGTTGGTGTCGGGCAATGTTTGTATGTTGGACTTGGAAGTAGCATTCAGAGTATCTTCCTGCAACTCAAGCAAAAGCAAGCTCGCCCGTGGTCTCCACTGAAGTAGGCTCAATGCTTTTGACGAAGAGGCCCTCACAGAGTTCATGGCATGCCAAGCAGAACATGCATCAAGTTTCGTGACCTTCGCAGTGCAAGTCAAGCAAGCGAGGTTTGGAATCGTAAGCAGTAAAGTAAACTAGACCTGTGTTGAAGGCAAACGGATTTGAAGGTGTTCGGCTAGATGCTTGGGACCCGTACACAAATGCGGACTTGGCCGCCCAAGCTGTGACTTTGCCCTGCAAGATTTGAAACCCGAGTATTGTGTCCATGCATCTCTTGCCCTTGCGCGGCCTTCAGCCCGCGGTTGCACCTGTCACAACCCTGTACCTCATTGTCCGAACCTGATCGGGCATAGACTTGGGCTCATCCTGCGCGCGCTTTGCGCTCTCCGCTTTCTATATGGGTCAAGATGATCCCCAGCGTTTGTTCTGCCAGCATGTTCTTGAGCTGACTATGCAGGTGCCTTCCTTGAGTCCTCTCTCTACCTCTCTGCAGCCAAGCTTTTCCAATGCAGCTTTGTACCATTTGGAGTACTGCCCCCTGGACTCGAAACTAGAGTTGAAACAGAGCCAAAAATGCATGTCTGCTATGTTCGGATCTGAAAGAGTGGGCCATCCAAAAGCGTCCAATCTCCGGACAGGCGCAGAACGAGCACCTGGACGTCCCCGGTGGTGACGAGGGCAAAGGCACCGGTTCTTAGCTGCTCTGGGCATTATATACATATTAATATACCTTTACACACAATTATATGTATATATGGATATATATATATATATGTATGTATGTATGTATGTATGTATGTATGTATGTATGTATGTTAAATCTGGGCTCGCTGTTTGAAGCCAAAAACGACAGGAACCCTCCAAGCGTTCCAGCGCTCCCCAGGTCAAGCAGACGCGCAAAGGCCGCGACACCCCAGAGGAGCAGACTTCGGAATTGTAACGGACGGATCTCCTTTTCCAGAAGTTCCGGGAGAGAGTTGAAATCACCCGTTTTGGAGGCTGTCTTCGGAGAGAGCGTAAGCTACCCTTTCCAGAGATTTTGCTGGCGACCCAAGCTGTTGCAGACTGTTTTGACGACGACGAGAGCCATGTGCTGCTTGAATTAAAAGTGCACTATTGACATAGCCGGCCAGCTCGCGAGGATGGCACCTCCTGGCGAAGCCAAATCGGCTTGCGGCCAAGATTTTTGCCGGCAAACATGCCTGGCAAAATACTTGCCGAAGCTTGCATCTCGATCTGGGCGGGATCATATTCGGACTTGTCTTTAGTTATCTGCAGCTATGCGGCAGATGTGTGGCCTGTTAGGGCGCTCACGCCAAACGATCACAGAGTCCTTCCATACAAAGTTGCGAGGCCATGTAACCCGCATCGGGCCAGAAGGACGCAGCAGGCAAGGACAGGTTGGAGATCAATTTCTCACCAGCAGCATGATATTCTCATGCCAGCGGGCTGCAGGCTGCATCCTGGGGCAAAGCACCCAAGCCCGATCGCCTCCGCCGGTAAAGTGGGCTTGCCCTCGGCACCCTCTGCTCACAGAGATGGCTATGCCGATCCAAAGGACCGCCCCGTTGATGGACAAGTTGCTTTCGCACGCTGATGCATCTGCCTAATTTGATTGACTTTCAAAGCTGCGGCTCGAATGCTTCTTAGAGGGATGTCACCTTCTGAATCAGTAATCAGTAAACTCAGCAGAGGTGCATAAGTCGTGCCGTGCTTGCTGTTGCTTGCGATGCTGGAGCCCAGAATGCCACGTGGCAGGATCGAGGTCCAAGGTTTAGCACCTTGCCGCCACCTCCAGACAAGTCTCAGCCTCATCGTCTTAGCGATGTTAGCAGCCGAAGCCATAGATGGTTATAAGCTTGAGTTGGGAAGTTATCACGAGGCATCTGCTGAGTTACGCCAGAAGGAATGCAGAGCTGTATCAAATCGACAACGGCTGGTCATGCCCAAGACCTGTCACAGGAACACAATGGAACCCTTTGGCGTTGGCTCTCTTTCCGGTCCTGAACCTGAGGCCATATACGCCACATTATGGGGCTTTGCAGCCTGCCTTGAGGAGCGAGTAAGCGTGCATCGAGATCGATGCGAAAGATCGACCCATCTGCATTTCGCTTCCCAGCACTGGTTCTGTTTCTTTGCTTCCTCACATGTGAAGGAGTCGGCTTGACAACACCCAAGACATTCGCCGCCTAACTGCAATGCTCCGCAAGTTTTCGCAGCATGAAGCTCGTGTTTCGTGTCCCTGCACTGGTTCTGCTTGATTGCAGGCCTTGAAGGCTCCATGGGGGAAGTCCTGCCCGAGACCGCTGACACGATTTGCTACGAAGCTGCAGAATCTGAATTTTGTTTGCTGCGTGGTATGTATGTTTCGATTAGTTTGACCGGCTGCTTTGCCATTTGGCCAAGGCTTCGTTCCTGAGCCCTATGTCCGTGCACAACGCCCAGACCAGCCACTTGTCCTCAAGACGTCTTGCACTTGTAGCCCTGGCATTCTGATCAACAGTGCCCGAAGTCTGCCAATTCACGAAGGCGTGTGCGCTCCACTGCAGCATTGTCCGACAGTGAGGCACATTAGGGGATTCGGGAAGTTAGGGGATGCAGGTAGCTCTCGCCTGGTACGTTGGCCGAAATCACCTGCACGATACCGGCCATGTTTCGAGAGGCTATTTCGGACACTCTGGAGAAGGCCGGCATTTGGTTTCGGCCGGTGCCGACGAGGGAGGCGCCGAGATTCGGAAAATCCATGTGAGTTGAGATGCCAAAGTCGCCGCACTGCGACACTGTAGTCAACCGGGAAGGAGCATTTTCGTGAAATGAGTGACGATGAACTGCGAGAGCGACTGCGGGATGTTGCGGTGTCTTGGCATCCACTGACGAGTGCAGTGACAGAGTACAACAGACACTGCCCTTTCCAACTCCTGCCGCAGTCGACGGAGGTTCTGCATAGGCCCTCCTTTAAAAAGCAGGTTGCAGAATGTCCCAGCTGGGGTTGGCGCACTGTAGCACTGTAGCAGACCGCTCCAAGCTTTTGCTTGTGCCAGATGCACAGGAGCTCGTGTCGGGATCTCGCAGGGACTTGCTGAAGCGACTTTACGGCCCTCTGGCGACGTATTAATGTTAGACTGAACGCTTCGGGTGGAAAGGAAACCTTCCAAGAAGCCGTAGACAGTTTGGATCAGTTGGATAGTCGGATGATTTCTGGTGCGTCAGGGTCTTTCCTGGATCACGTCTGAGCTGCTCAAAACTGCTCTGGTCTTGACTGCCGGGTTCCGTTGCTGAGGCAAGAAGTCGAATGTCACATCCTGGACGAAAGCCGAAGTGGAGACCGAATGCTATCGATTGGGATGCTTCGGCAGCTATGGTCTACACTTCGGCATGGCAGTTTTGGAAGTGTTGAACGCTCTGGATCTCTGATTTGCTGCCGTGGCTGAGGATTGGAGGTACTGGAAAAGAAGGCAGACAATGTGGTGAACATCAAGAATGCGCAGGAGTGGCAGCAGATTTGCAACCTCAGCGATGAAGACTTGGCGTACGAGCTACTCGTGCTGCAACATGCGGACGACCCGGCTTGACTGTACCTCGTCGTGTTTTGCCGAGGAAAAGGCGTGGATGTTCCATCCGAGGTTGTCTTATCGTGGCCTGGACTCGGAGGATCGTGAATCTGACGAGGAGAGGCTGCGAGCCTATCTGGACGGCCGCATGTTTTAGTTGGTCCACTGAGGGCCTCTTCGAAAAGCGCGCGGTAGGGACTCATGCAACGACAGGGCCCTTTTTGGCTTTCGACACCTGCCCTCTGTTCGTAGAGATACAAAGGCCTAGCGCATGCACTTCCTCTCGGCTCGATGCACAAGCTGGGTCCAGCGAGACTATTTGCGCAATAGTGCCCATGCCAAGAGTGTACCTCAGTGACCTTAGTGCAGGTGCAGGTCGTTTACGCAACATCACCAAGAAATGCCAAGAAGCTCCCCACATCACCGGCTCCTTGCACATCATGCGGTAAACTTAGCAGATACCTTCAGAAACCTGGCGGTAATGATCCTTGCCATGCTGCACAACTAGAATGGGTGGTCGCGCTGACTCCGTGGAGGGATCACTGGAGTGCTGCTTCAGCGCCACAGCACATAAATTTGACGTTAGCGCTTGCCAGCCAACTGTATGCCCCTACCATGTGCGGTCGAGATGGACGGAGGGGAGTGTGGTCCAAGGCGCTGGGAGCACTGGCACCACTCAGCCGCCCCACAGCCAAAAGCAAGGATGAAAGCCGATGCATGCGGCGAGAAGTCGTAACGTTATGTGAGATGTTAGCACAGAGTCCGAACTGACTTGCTGAGCCAAGGCTCCGGAGTGTCCTCGACGGAGATGAACACACGACAGGCCGTTGACAACATGGCAAAACACAATACAAACAGCGGTAAAGTTCGGGAACGACAGGAAAGCGGTATTCTGTTCGTATGGCTTCGCCCGTCTCAGATAAATCATAGGTACTGGTGATATGTCTGTGAAAGGCCGAGTTCTTCGACCAGCCAGACGAGCACTGCACTCAGCATGCGAGGGGAATTGAAACGACAGGTGATTGTTTGGAGTATGCAGGGCACAAGGAAGAAGGAGAAGTGAAAGGGCTGCCCTCCGAAAGAAAGCTCTTCAAACGCCACACTTGCTGTCTCAATGCGGGCTTTGAAGTAAGACGGGGAAGAAAGCACAGCTTCTTAAATTCGGATGCTTTCTAGGTTCTAGGCCATGATAATGGTGCAACATATACCAGTACTTGGAGTTGGCTCGATGTTGTCTCAGGCAACGCACACTCGCCCAGTCCAATAACTCTAATAATGTGTGTTCAGACAGTCTGTCATGCGTCGACTTAGACACAAGAAGAAGATCCGGAAGCAGCAGGATGTCATCAGGATCTGGTGATAAATAATTAATGAAACATCTGTTGGTAGCGGGGGCAGAGAGATGAGCGGTTTCGCTTGGAGGTACTTTCGCGTGGTCATACGTGTGCGCCCCCCGCTGGATCGAGAGCTTTCATCGCCGGTTTGGCAGCACGTGGTGCGGCTCGGTTGCCAGGATGAAAGGTACTTTAACACGTGGTGGGGATGCAGTCCCTGCCAATTGCGCAGGTCAGTTACCGGGACTTCCCAGACACTTGGCAATTGAGGAGTTGCAAGCGCTCCTGACTAACTGTCGGTTGCGGCCTGTGCATTCTAGGCGCCAAGCTTTTGCCCAAGGATATGTCTCTACGAGACAATAGCAGAGATGAACCCTGGTGACAGGGCAAGCGGGACGAGCCAGGTAGTGAACACCCATACATTCACGTTCGATCATGTGCACCTTTCTTGCAAGCTTCGCTGCCTTACCGAATTGTGAATGTTGATTTGTAGCTTATTGCCACAGCGTTCCCACAGCTGCCGTGCAAGGTACGACCAAGTTGCTTCCCAGCCAGAAGTTTACACGAGCACAGCGCGATCATCCGCCGCTCGATCACACGGTTCCGAATTTCCGAGCACAGCTACTTTCCTCTCAGGTCATGTCGGCTTTGGATGGATACAATACCACAATCTTGGCTTATGGTCCAACCGGTACAGGCAAGACCTACACGATGGAGGGATGTCAGGGACAGGATGGGCATGGCATCATCCCGCGGTCCATGGAGGACTTCCGCGGCTGCAGTGCTTTCTTCGGCTTCTTTGCACTCAGTCATTTCGTGATGAAGCACGTCCAAGGACATCTTCCAGCACATCCAAGAGGCTCAGAACGGCCACGCATCCTTCCAGGCTTCTTGCCTGGATTCTTCCGAGCAGAGGGAAGCGCTGTGAAATTGACGGCAAATCAACGACTGAGGTCCGAGCATCTTATCTGCAGATCTATAACGAAGTCATCTCCGACCTCCTGAAGCCCGACAGGTCGCATCTCATGATTCGCCGCTCGCCGGCGATGTGCGACTCTACGATGCCAGGCTCTGTCGAGCAGCAGCATCATGACTGTTAGGCTGCATGATTACGTCTTCCAAGCCCCAATTGAGGTGAAGATCGGAGGAAGGGCGTTTTCGTTGAAGGTCTCTCCGAGTGGCTCTGCCGGAGCCCTGATGAGGCCCTGACAATGCCTGCGTTTTCGGACTCGGAGCAACAGTTCGCGATTCTGAGCAGCTGCAGCAAGATCGAGTAGCTGCAGTAGCTTCTGTAGTCGTCCTACTATTTAGCATCTGCACACTGGGCCTAGCATATGATCATGGGGAAGTTGTCGTCGTGGCCAGTCCGAGTGCATAGACAGGAATGACGATCGCGAAAAATCACGGTGTCTTGTGAAAGTGGTAGCAACTTCTGAGAGAGTGCTTGCGAGGTGCAGACTTTGATGGAGCATGGATCGTCGGCCAGGGCGACGGCTCAAACAGGTGCCAATGACACCTCAAGCCGATCTCATGCCGTCTTCATTATTGTCGTCCCCTCAGGTATCGGCTGTCGCCACCGTTTCCATAAGTAGGACCTGTGGAGCTGTGTGTCCCTCCAGGTGGTTGAGCATGAAACAGTGGAGGGCAAACGCACCGGGCGGCTGAACTTGGTGGACTTAGCCGGCTCGGAAAGGCCACGCCTTACAGGCACCAAGAGGGCCTTGCAGCATGACGGGCGACGTTCCCCGAGGGGCTTGACTTTTACATTTCCGGGGCACCAGGTCGGACGACATGGCACATGTGTCTCTGTACAGTCGGCGCGCCCCGACGATGCCCTGGCCCTGCAACCACGCGCGCCCGCGATAGCGCGACGCAAGATCTGTCTGAAAAGATGTGCCGATTTGTGCAAACAGCTAGCAGCTGCTTGTCAGGCGCCACGGGCCAGCGCCTGGAGGAGACGAAGAAGATCAATCAAAGCCTGTCTGCTCTGGGCACCTCGGAACTGAAGTCCCTATTGAACCCCGGACTTCAACTGCGGGCTCCGGGCTCGTCCTAGCTGTCCTAGCTAGGTGGGAGGCAAAAAAAAACTGCAGGCTCCCCGTGCTTCTGAGGCAACGTAATTTCAGCGCTGACGGAACGGCGTGGCCCTGTCTGCCGACCCCACGTTCCATACCGGGACTCGAAGTTGACAAGATTACTGGAGGATTCCCTTGGTGGAAACTGCCGCACCACAATGATGGTCTCCTGGCTGCACCGAGAACAGCCTGGCTTTGCACGTGTGCTTGTTTTGCACAAGTTCAGGCGACCGATCCATGTCATGTCATGTCTAGCTAGAGTCTAGCTGCCTAGCTGTCACGGGTTAATTTGAGTCAGTCTTCCCAGGCCATGGTTTCGCCAGCTGCCGAAGCCTTCGCGGAATCTCTGTCAACCCTGAAATTTGCCCAGCGCGCAAAAGGTGTCGTCACCACTCCACAGGCCCGCACCCCGAGCAGAACAGGAAGTCTTCGCAAGCTTCCCCCCCCTTCAATTTCTCATGAGGCAGGCGGCAAGCTAGCAGGGAGCCGTGTCGATCCTTTTTGCCTCAAGCGGGGGTGCTTGAATTTTGTTCTTATCCCGTCCAAAAAATCTCGCTGTCAGTTCACCAGCACCTATGTTGAGAGCCGTGAATCAGGTGAACGAAGATCTTGATCCCCGCACTTTGACCCGGAGGCCTGTCGACAAAAGCTCTGGAAGCATGCGGAACATCTCTTTTCCTCACAAAAATCACACAGCGACGGCCACAGGGTCCCGAACAGGTACGAGGCAGAGATTCGCCGTTTGCGAAGCGAACTTGCTGAGCGCAGCCAGGAGGTCAAAAGGACAGCTGTTGGAACGGCTGGGTTGCGTGCATGTGTTTGAAACATCTTGTCACCAGCATCAAAGGACTCGTGCCGATTTGATTCTGCCTATGATAGACCTCTACCACGCAAGTATTGCTCCTGGCAGGAGCATTGGATCGGACTTCCCTGAGTCTTTCGTGCCCTGAAGCGATGTGCATGCAATGTTTTGGCTTCGTAGGCCATACGAATCCGAAACTACATTATCCTGTAACACTCTGCCGCCTCAGGATCGGCACAGCCTGCCTTTCGAGTCGATGGCACCATTGCGCACGGACCTGGCTGGTGCCTGCGTTACATGATGTTACACGCAGCGGTCATGAAGCCGAAAAACTACATAGAGCATGCGACACAGAGAAGTGTGCACCACAGCTGAGGAAGCCGAGCTTCCAGCGTGTCAGCCGCAAGAGAGCTCACGGCTGTGGAGGATGACAAGGACAGGCCACGTACTAGAGCCATCAACCACTATCTCTGTTAGCTTATCAGCAAGAAGCGCAGTAGTGGCAGCGGAACATGCAGCAAAGGAGTTCATTTGAATTTGAATCCTGCTTGCTTGATCTCCCCGCTGGATTCTGACAAGGCGCAGGTGGGTCGATACAAGCAGCTTCTCTTGAAGCAGCGGGTCGCTTGGACCATTAGACGATGCCGAGTGGAGCACGCATTTGTTCGCGGGGGGGAGGGGTGTAAGGCAATGCTCTGTAGTTCGCACTATGCCTGGATGGATCCCTCCTTGGCATAGTCAGGACATCATGATTGCTTTGACGCAGCGCCTGCACGAACGTGATGAGACCATCATCGCGCTGCAGGCGCGAGATAGGGATCTGCGAGGTCACAGAGGACCCCAATGTCGAGCTGCCATGCATAATCAGGTACAGTAGGTCTTGAACGATGAAAACTTACCCGCAATGTTGCGTAGAATGCCAGCACTTGTGCTGCAACTGTGCTGCAAGAGCACTGTGAACAGTCTGGACCCAAGTGTGGCAGTCTGAAGGCAGAGTTGGATGCGCGCGACCGGCACCTCAACGAGCTGATGCAGCGCGGAGAGCGACAGGCGCGGAGCGGAGCACCAGAATCTCGTAGCCTTCAGAGACCCCCACACTGACACGCCAGGCTCTTCGCCTGGCTGCGGCAGAGAAGGCGCTCCAAGCGTCTTCCAAGGCCAACCTCACGGCCATCTCGGGTGGCGTCGCCAGAGGCAGTGCTGCCACTTCAGGACCTGCGGCATGAAAGGCCACTTGGTGCTGGCAGGATTGAAGTAGCATGCGTTCGAAGCTCTTCGGAGGCTTTGTGCGAATGAGCGACACAGACACAGACAGACACACACACACACACTCACACTCACTCTCTCTCTCTCTCTCTCTCTCTCTCTCTGACTCTCGATCTCTCTCTCTCTCTCACAGGACCCTTCGCAAGCAGCGTTGGTTCTACAATGTTTCCGAATGGTAAAGGTGGTGATGATGGTAATGATGATAATGATGACACCGAAGATCAGAACGAAGAGGGGGTGATGACTTTCATGCCAATGGATGCATACAACAGCAAGCTGAATCAGACGAAAAGGAACGAGGTCAGATGGAAGATACAGCGAGGCCCGCCCAGGAGGGGGCGATGAAAGTCAGTTTGCACCGGTCGGGGAGGGGTGTCTTCGTGGCCGACGGAAGGAGCAATTCCTGCCCCTCCCCCACACCGGGATCGCAGAACCTGCCGGTCCGGCCTAATTGCAACATGCAGGAACCGCCCGGAATCGGAAGGTACCGGCAGGAACCAACAGGAACTGGAAGGTAACGGCAAGAACCGGCTGGAATGGGAAGGAAGCGACAAGAACCGAAAGGAAGCAGGAAAAACCGGAAGGAACTGGCAGGAACCAAAAGGAACTGTGGGAACCGGCAGCAGCCCGAAGGAACCGGCGGGACCCAAACGAGGATAGCAATGCGGCTAGATGCTGCTAGCTGAGCGTCCGCTATGTGTTTTTTTTCTGCGGGCTTACTTCATGCTTATCATCATGGGACATCCTATGTGGAAGACGCGTGGACGCACATGCGGGGCAACAGCATTTTCAACACTCGGATCGTGTCACGAGACAGGTCGCGACTGAAGCCAAGGCATCAAAATGCAGCCAGCTTTTGCCGAGTGGACTTGCAGCAATCTGTACTCCCACATACAGGTGTTTGCAACATTATCCCACTCCCTCAACACAAGCCTTTGGATCTGCCCGACCCGACTCGTCGATTGCCTTTCGCAAGGACCAGGGCTGTTTCCGCGACAGCCGCCACCGGTCGCAGTCCAGACAGCCTTGCCGGAGGTGCCTGGAGCGCCCTTGCCACATGAACTCGATGATCCTGTGGAACAGAGGCTCCTCCATCCCCGAAGGCATCCTCTTCTCGAGCCCCTCTCCTGAAGCACTTTGCCTCTACGGGATCCAGCCATGCTGCACAGATGAGGCTGCAGAGTTGGAGTATTTGCCCAGATACCTGCCAGAAAGCAACTTGTCTCTATCAGTCCTGTCTTCAGATTCTGCAGGCCTGATCTCCAAAGATATCAAAAATGCACTGACAGAGACCTTCACTTGCACACGAGGTCGGCTCGACTCTCCAACTGCTTCCGACAGGAGCCGCAGAGCCCGTGAACCGAGCTGCCCGTCCAGTCGTGCAGTTTCACGGGTGTTTCCTTTCATGGCGCAGCGTTGCGGTTTTAAGATCGCTGGCACTTGACCAGAGCACAGGCACTGCAGGGCCTGGCCTTCTCAGCGCAGACGACAAGGCGCCCGGGAGTATCCAGAGACAAGGCTCTTTTCTATAAATGAACTGATGCTGATTGTCCTCTTCCATCACAGTGCAGGTACTCGAGCTGACTTCACTTCTAGAAGCGCAGCGGCAAGAGAATCACAGGACGGCGCTGATGTCAATTCGCATAGCGATCAATTGACTGTCAACAGTTCTGCCCACGAGACTGCCATGAGTCCTCCGCGAAACCACTAACGTTTCAGGATTTCTCATACCAGTACAGTTACAGAGGATGAAGCTGGAGCTGGAAACTATGCAAGACTCGATGCTTCCATTGCACGGTGCCTCCGTGGCCAGCACAATGGCTAACAGCTTCAGTCCAGAGGCGAGGCTGCATGGGCATAGCTTTGCAGACATAGTGCAGAGTTGCATACATCAGCATGGCGGTCAGCCTAGGATGTGCCAGTCCAACGCACCGATTTGCTCGGACGATTCCGTGCCTTTGTTCTCAACACCTGACGTCTTGCGTTTCGCACGGGTTTATCGCACTTTCAGCCTGGACACTACCTTTCCATTGAATCTATGTTAGCAACAGCAGCATGCCAGCGGTGCAAAGTTCGAGCATTTGTCAGCAACATGTTTGCCCAGCGAGGCGAAGCGCATGTTCCTCCAGTCTTCCCGTGATACAGGGCTTTTACAATAGTTGTTTTTGGGCATTGCTGCCGTTGTTTGTCTTGTTCTGGAGATGTGAGTTTCCTGGAAGCATGACTAGGTGACCGGCAGCCATGGACGAAGCCTCACAATGTCAGCGAAGATGTTCGGCGGCACGGCATCTGGGCTGCACGATGCGCGGCTCACGAAGATGCCGACCCTCAGCCGTTTGGAAGAAGAACCTTGCTCTTGTTTGTGATAAGCAAGGATGGACACAGCCAACCATGAAGAGCGACAGCTACAGGGCAATGAGACCAAGTGGCTCCAACTCAAGATCCGCAGTCTGGGCGGATTCAAGCTCTTAGTTTTTTTGGATGCGATCCCATGCGGCTGGACAGCAGATCCTGATCCTTATGCTTCCGTTTGAGGCGATCCCAGAGTTGCTAATCGGCAACAGAAGAGATGCGCGCAAGATCATCCATGCTTCTCAAGTTGTTCTGTACGAGTGAAATTTAAAAAATATGCGTCGAGTTCATGGGATGCGAGGAAAAACTCCTATATCCTAAGTACTCTGCGATCTTCGCGCTCGGGGAGGCGTGCTTGCCGGCAAGGCCACGGCAGAATGCGGGGGGCAGACTGCTCGTTGGATATCGCCTTGCAGTCACCAAGACCCGAGGGCTGCTTGCTGCTTCGAAGAGAGAGACCGGCTTGCAATTCGGTTGATCTTGCCAGCAGAGGAAGGCAAAGAATCAATCACTTGCTTTGCCAACACCCGGCCAGCCTTTGGGCCAGAGGAGCAAAGCTGCACAGCATAGCCCAATGAATTCCTGAATATGGAGACTGGATCGGAACCTGTACAGTAGGCGCAAGGTAGCCTGAGCCTCATAGCACTTTCCAAACCAACTGGAGAGTTTTTTGCTGGAGCCACCGGCACGATGCAGAGCCCCAGCCGGTCATTCTTGTCAGCGAATGGAGACACTCCGCCCTCTCCTCAGCCAGTGCCCGCGCGGCAAAGTTCTCCGAAGCATTGTGCTGTTCTGTCCTTCGCCAAGGAACCTGCGAGCTGTCATGGGTGCCGCGCTGGATGCGTACCTGTGGACAGAAAGGCGCCGCATTGGACAATACTGAATACTCTTTCGACCGCGGAACCTTAGAGCTCAGCGTGCAATGTCTGCTTTGCTTCCACCTGTTTGTTTAAGGGTAATCCCTGAAGCACGCATATCGCCCCGCAGGCAGTTTCGGCTGTCCTTCCATAAGTTTCACGGAGTGTATACAGTCACTAGATTCAAGTCTTCCCCATGGCTGGCGCCGTTCTCGTGGGCCTGGTGCTGTCGTTCTATGGCTGCAGACTTCTCTTGTAATTAAGACGGCTGGTTTGGGAATATAATGTTTGCGAGCAGCGTTCTAAAATGAATGTGGAGTTCTCTCTCAGGCTCCAGTTTCTTTCTGGCAATGCTCTCGGCGCACCGCTGCTCCTTGGCTAGAATTGCACGTGAAGGCACGAACTGAAGATACCCCTATCCCTAAGCGAAAATGCTATGGTCTCTTGGATCATCGAAATGTGATGCGGAAGCTGTCCTAACCGAACCACCCTGCAATGCAGGCTCGTCCTTTCTAAGCAAGCGAAAAAAATTCGGTGATGCTGCATGGGCGGTCGTCTCACTGAGCGTTGTGGTGAGAAGGAAGGACATTTTGGCACCGCAGCCGCAACCTTGCCATAGGGACTCCAAAATCAGCTCTTGAGCCTCACAGCCCGAAAACTGCGCAAAGCATGCGACATCACGATTTGGCACTGGGATCGCGTCAACCTGACGTTCAAGGCTTAAATGGGTTCGGGCAGCCGCGAAGAACAGAAAAGAAGTTGCTGGCTTCATGGCACGGGTCGCTGGGCCCCCAGCGATGCTGCCCGTGGGGTGCAAATGATCCTCCTGACGCCAGCACCTCCAGCACCTCGGGGTTCTTCGCGTCATGAAAGCAAACGTGCCAAAGAGCGTGCAAAGCCCTGTCCCGCACCGGCATCGCTAGCACAGCCCTACAGGTAGCAGTTGTCAAACTGCTCGGATTTGGACCTTGCAGTAGCTCAGGACAGAATGGCAACAGCAGGTCTTTAACGAGGTGGCCAAGAGCGCAGCTGTGCAGTCGAAGGCGGATGCCCAAACTTCGGAGACCTCATCTGGCAAGTCCAAGTTGTGAGAGCGTGAACTTCTCCAGCACAGAGCCAGCAACCGCAATAACCCGCATCGATTCCGGAGGCTGCAGAGCCAGAGCTCTTGGCACTTTTCGATTCAGAAGAATTTCGTGGGCAGCCCAGTGTTTCCAGGTTGAACAGGCATCCAACGTCAGCCAGTGTCGGAGCTTTCAGCTCTAGGCGCGAACCTTTCCGCTTGCTGCCCATCATTTGCAAAAGTGTCGGCCGCAGAGCTCATGGACAGACTCTCCAAGCAGTTTCAGGACCGGCGCTTCAAAGCCATCTCAGTTCTGCTCGCAACAGCCGACAGGTGGCCGAAGTGGCATCTGGCTTCCCTGCATTTCAAGCCGCTTGCCTAACGCATGCGGGCTTCCCTCATAGTCGCAGAGATTCGCGGAACTTCCACTCTCAGCAATGGGAGGCCTCTGGAAGCCAGACCCTCTGAGATCTTGTCTTACTCGTAGGTTCAAGCTGCCAACGTAGCCCAAGGATCCCGCCGAGCTGTTTCCGGATTCTGCGGGAATGTCTATCGACTTTGGAATGAACGGCACATTCTTCCTGTTCCCTGGCAGAGATGTTTGCACATGCACATCTCGAAGCGCAAGCCATGTTCCAACTCTAGGAGTGACTGGCAGGCGGTGCCTTGGATGACTTGCGGATACTTGCAGCGACTGTATGCCACTCCATGCGAGATCACGAGCGCTAGAGACTAAGATCTTGATGCACTCCACCGTGGATCCGGAGAAAGTCTGGCATGGTCTCGTTTCTACCTACCAGGCATTCCATGTCAACTCCTCGAGGCACAAAGCTTTTGCGTTGACAGTCAGCTCAGCTTACGCCCCAGATGTTTGTGACTTGTCCAAGGGGAACAGTGACGATGGAGCAGTGGCTTGGCGGATGCACTGGCAACAAGAGTCAGCCTGTCGAGATGCTGTTGTCAACATGTCCTCCTGCCGAGCTTATTCCAGCATGTTGTCGGGGCTTTGAAAATCTGAAGCGAAGCAAGGGGGTCGACGCCACGACTGCACAGGGATCCTTAGCTCTCGGGGGAGCCTCCAGAACATGAGCATCGCAGCATCCATACTAATGAACACCCATGACCCACACACAACCAGAAATGCAGCAAAGTGCCTGTGGGGTCCTGCCAGGCTATGTGGAGCCTCATTCCTTCAAAGGTCAGGACAGGATTGTGCGCTACGACTACGAGCAAGGCACAGGCCTGATCTGGTTGGACGGATTGTAGAGCACACTGAGGTTCTTGAAGCTCGGAATGTCACTAGAGATCAGTAGACCATTACAGACGTCACGATGGCCATTGCAATTGCAGGTCACATCAATAATTCTTTCTGGCTGGCTTCGAGCAGTTCGAAAATCGTCGGTGGCCGGAGCAGCCCATCTTTGGAACTCGACCTTGGGATGCAGCCACCTGGCGGCAGCCATTTGCAGTGCCATTTGCTGCGAAGTTCGACACTATGCAGTTGCTTAAGCAGGAATGGAGCACATGCCATGTGCTTCCGGCACTGCAATCTCGAATGTCCATCCACTGCGGTGCTTCAGCATGCGTCGCATCTAAGGAAAGTGGACTGCCCGAAACGCCCAGCGTTTGCTATTTCGGTGTATGTTGCAGACGGCCAGTGTCACTCACACGTTCCTTGACAGCAACACGCAAGTTGCGATTTTGGAGGGGCCACACATTGTCAGTTGAGGCCTTCCAGAACAACTCCCAAGAATTCGGTTACCAAGATCATGCAGCCGCTGGAGCTGCACTAACCGCGTGAATGCACCTTCAGGGTACGGGCCAAAGATGCCGTGTAGCAAACAGGAGGGGGACCCGACCCCTCGATGCTTCGTCCCAAAGACTATTTGTAATGCAGTGGATCTGAACATGAGAAACAAAAAGCCAAGAACCAGGAGACCTAGGCGATTCATTGCTTTTGAGATTGATATCTTGGAGTGTCAGGGCTTTCGAGTTGAAGTGTTCTCAAGAACCGGACCTTGATCTTTGCCTCATGCCTAGTAGCACCCCGGTCACGATATCATAGTACATGACACTATGTTATAGATTGTTATAGTCTATAGTATATCATAATGTAATTATACTATTACCAGATCATACTTTGGACTGTCTTCCGCTCCTCTGCTTGACTGCGCGAGATGTCCTGGGAGCCCCACTTGTGTCCGCTACTGTGAGAGCCAAGGAGACCTACGAGCAACCTGGCCTGCGAAGGGAAAGCTAGATTCAGCTAGAGGCAGGGTTCACCTTTTTCTGAAACCGCCTTTGCTGGGAACTTGTCCGGCAATGTTTCAGCATGCAGCTGGTGCAAAGAAAAACTATGGGAATGGACGCGGGCCTCAGTACTGATGCATATACCAGGTTTCATGCAGTGCATGCATTGAACGTTTGTCTGAAATCACAAGATTGCCTGGTCATGCCACCACAATGGCAATGAGGCCTGCAGACTTGAAGTGACTTGGCACCATCCGATTCACAGGCACCCTGCATCTAAGGTATGGCCTGAAGCCATTTAAGTCCCGCGGGGCACCATCGACTCTTGCTGAAGCTGCCGAGCGTCCGGTCTATTCCTTGGTGCCTTGTCCTTGTGATGGGTTTGCCACTTGGGGGAGCATGTCTAGCACTTGCAAGATTAAGATGCTTCAAAGGCACCGCCTGGCACTGACAAACTAAGGTTAATTTGAACATGATTGACATGGGGAGTCCCATTTGTGGTGGCTCAGATGCTGGGAAAATCCAATCAGAGCATCGAGTGATCGTTGCAATCTCCCCCTGCCACTTCAGCAGCTTGTTCATGTGCTCAGGTGACGTTTCTGCCATTTTTTCCAACAAGTACATTGCGGACAGCACACTTCTATCTCCAGTCGACAGTGGTATGTATGAGATGAACTGCCACTCGGCTGAGCTCCAGAATTTGCCTGGTGGATGCAGCACTGTGGTGAGTGAGAACTTGATTGTCCCCGCTCTGGCAACATCATATCAGCACATGTCGGTGAGGCATTGACAAGGAGGACTTTGAATGGGCGCCGCGGCACAACTGCAGTGTCGCTCAGAGGCATCCATCTACTACCGTCAAAGGGGCGCATACAGACAGGAGGCGAAGAACAGCTGGCTTGCCACCCTGTGCGCTCGGTATCAAGGCTGTAACAGCTTTCAAGCATCTGGGTACACTCCGGCACCACAAGCACCTTTGGTTGATCAACCAGGCCCTTGTTGTGTCGTAGAAGCATGTGGTTCACAAGTTCCACGAGCAATGGCTACACTGTCTGTACTCATTCTTGTCACTGGCTTGGACTGCCACTCGGTACATACGGCTTCAAGTGATCTTTGCCGACAGGACTTCTGGAATCGTGTTGGTCTCCTACACACCGCTTTGACAAGGTGACCCGTCAAGTGCAGTTTGCAAGGCAAGCAGCCGCAAGCAGTGCAACCGCGAGATTAGCCGTGATTGAAAATTCGTATTTTTCTGAGGATGGAGACTCCCTGGGGACGTCATGCCGTGCCAGCCGGCCGTTTCCTGAACTACTTCGAGGGCGCACTCCTAGGCAAGACAAGTCCCGAGTAAGCTTGTCGTTCGAGGGCGTCTGCAATGACTGTTGATGCTCTGGAGGTCAATTGCAGTTCCCGACAGCAGCCCCTTGGCAACACGCGACGTCGCCTGTTGCGCCTGTGATCCCTCCTTTTTGAAGAGCACCTTCCGCCCGCCAGATTCGCTTCCTCCTCGGTTGCTTTCCAGCGCTCTTCGGCACTGACTTGGGAGTGAAGCTGCAAACATGGGCGAGGAGGGCGCGGGGTCTCCCAAGATCAATGCGTGAGATCAGCACAGCTCCTACAGAAACTGATGACATGTCGGCCTCCGCCCTGCAAGGAGCCGCGGTTGGGTCTTGATTTGGGCACTTGGCCCGAATGACAAGGCCATTGTCTGGGCCTTGGTGTTTAAGAAGTGCTTGAGCGAGCTCATTCAGATGGCGACGGCACACAGGAAGAAGCCTGTTCGTCAATCATTCCAATCTGAGGTGGGAGAAACTTCAGACTTCAATTTAGACCTGATGCCTCTGGACTGCATCATCTGTGTTTTCCCTTACTGAAGTTCCCGCACTTGTTTTCGTCACGGGGAATCGCAGCATGAGATAGGCATGAGTACCAAAGGACGGGCCACAGGCCCAGCAGCAGCAGGAGCAGGAACACGAGGGAGGAGGAGTGGGAGTGGCAGTCACAGTAGTAGTTGTCGTCGTCGTCGCAGCAGGTAGCAGTAGCAGCAGCAGCAGCAGCAGGAGTACGAGCAGCTGGTGTGCGTGCATGTGATTGTGCATGCCTGCACGCAAACTGCGGCCAAGGGCGGGGACCTTGCCACTGCCTTAGATTCCAGCACGTCGGCTGCTGCCGCAGGTATGCACTTTGGGCACATATATGCAGCAAGGTCGTTCGAAGTCAACAAGCGCTTGATTGATCCGCTTGTCTTGTCTGAGACGACGGCTGCTGTAACCGGGCGCTGATAGAGTTGTGACTGCAGAATTCTTGGAGATTTCAGATATGCCAACATGCCGTAGCCGTGCTTTAAGGCAAGCTTATCCCTGGGCTCCAATGCAACAGACAAGTTTCACCGGATGTGGGCGGAGGACGGTTCAAGTGAGTGACCACCCACATTGGTTACCATGATCTTCTTTTGACGGCGCTGGCAGGTTGCCCACCTGCGGAACACAACGCATCTTGCCATAATGCCATGGACATGAATGAAAATATGCGCTCTGGCCTGCCCAGGAACGTGACCAATGCGACCATGGCGCAGCAACTTTGCAGGAATAACTTAGCCAGCACACGCAGACGTAACGGCAAATTCGTGGAGTGACATAGTAAGTGCTATTCATCGCAATGCCTCAGTTGACACCCCTCAGGAAAATGCAGGAAATTGGCACGCTTCTTCCACAGCTTCCTATTCGTCCGCTAATGGCTGGGGACAGCGCCGGGTTTGTTGGGAGAGATGCCTTCTGACCGTCTTGAAACGTTCCAAGCTGACCTGGCTGCATCTGCAATGGAACACGACCAGTAGTTACTATAGTTATAGTTGTTGCAGGACTGCGACGCACAGCTGAAGAGCGCCGAGTGCGTCGGCATGACGCTGCAGGGCAGCTGCCTGTGTTACGCCAGTGTGGACCCCCACATGCAGGCCGTCGAAGCTTGCGCCCAGACTGTTCTTTGTTGCTGCCAGCTGTTGTGCAGGTCGTCAGCGAAGCGGAGGTTTTCGTGTGAGCTCGGTCAACGGTGTCCCTGAGGTGAGAAGCTTGTTTTCACCCAGGTGTACAGTGTACAGTTTGCCCGCCTCTGAGAATCAGATCGTTTAATAAGCCTCACAGAAAAGTAAATGCCGAGTTGCACCGAGACGTGATATGTGCGTTCCATGCCAAGTGACGTTGACCCAGGGTGTTCTTGCCTGAGCGCTAAGCTCTGCGAGGCAACGAAGTGAAGAGGCGAACGAGTTCAGCACGGAGCTCGATTGACAATCATCGCTGACATCAACAAGCACAGCACAACATCACGGGCATGTCACTGTCCTGCCGTCGTTCGAGGCCTCGAGCTGAAGAAACTGCGTGGCAACTTGCAGGACTCCGCCAAGACGGAAATCTTTACGAAAAAGTCGGGGTACAGCATAGGGTGCTAGTATCTGGAATGAAGCCGTGATCTTTTCCGGGCCTGGTCAACATGGTTTCCATGTGAGTGCCATGAAACTTCATACCAAGGGGAACGAGAGCTATCTTCCTCTTCAAGCTGCCAGGACGTTGCGTCAGCTGCCCAGCAGCGCATTGCGGAAGAGGCAGGGTGTGTCACGCGGACTGCGAATAATCTTGCAGACAGACAGTGGCAGAGGTCTCGCACCTAACTAGCGAGATGACGGCTATCCGCGATGGCATTTCGAGCGAGTTGCAGGCCCTCCCAGACAGATGCAAGGGGAGACATATGAAGCGAGCCGTCAAGCTGTGGATGGAATTCTGAGTTTTTTCCCGATAAGGGCTGGCATGGAATGCTCAGACCACGCGAGCAGAACTTGGTCCCCACGTTTTGGCACGGAAGGTGCTTCGCGAAACACAAGCATCGGACACCACGAAGCTGCAGCGTGGCTGAAGCCTAGAGGTTCCGAAACAGCTACTGCTGTTTGTGGCTTAGGCGAGACTTTGTGGATGCGAGCAGCTGGAAGCTGTCCGAAGCACAGCTGATCAGCCCTTCGTCTCCCGAAGCTGCTTGCAATTGTCGTGCGCTTGTAAGGCGTGATCAGCAATCGGCAGAGACAGGAAAGCTGAAGGAAGGCTTCCAGAGTGAGATGAAGTGATTTGGCTGCAAGGGAGTGCGTTTATTGGGAGAGCGAGACACTTAGGGTCGGATCCGGAGCCGAAGTTCTTTCAGAGACGTTTGAGGCAGAAAATGGCCGAAAGCCTGCAAACCTGAGTCTTCCAGCACGACAGCAAACTATCTTCCTTTACTCCTGCTGTTGCAACCACCCTTCCGGATCTGCAAAGACGACAACGACGGCTAATACTAAATGCTACTACACTATCCTTGACAGACGACGACAACTGCTACTGCTAATGCTGCTGCTACTCCCTCTTCCTCCTCCTACTACGCACTACGACCACAGTAGCAACCGGCTGCTGCTGCTGATGCTGCTGCTACTGCTAGTATTCCTGCTGCTGCTGCTGCTGCTGCTGCTCCTACTACTACTACTACTACTACTGCTACTACTGCTACTGCTACTGCTACTACTACTTCTACTGCTACTGCTACTGCTACT